AGGAGGCCTCAAACATGCTGCTCACATGAGACCCCACAAAGGCCATCGAGAAAACCCAAAGACCCTCCCAACTGCACGAAGGGGACATCCTCGAACAAAGCCCGGGCAACAGTACAAACCGTCTCGTTATCCTCGAAATCCTCCGCCTTTTTCTCCTTCCTCTCGCCGTCGTCGTTACCAATTTCATCCTTTTCCTCCTTCTCCCACATTCTCATAATCCCAATATGAAAGGATTTTACCCGCGACTTCGCTCCGGGAGCATCTCGTTTCATGCGCGACGCACAACATATTTCAGTACTCCCTCCCAAGAAGCGCAGGACAAGTGAACCCCATGCGCGGAGTGGCGACTGCGCGGCAGCCACTCCTTCCACGCACCCGGACACCTGAAGACATTCTATGTGCGTGACGGCGTCCAAGAAACAGCCAGCAAGCACCCAGGACATTCGGATGAGGCTTCAAGACGCCCACCAAGGCGCCCACAAGGCCTCATTTTGTCTGGGGGTCGGCGCGGAATGGCATAAACCTCTTGCATCATATTCGGATAACCCCTTACCCTCAAGCTAGGTTGCCACATGCGCCCTCAACCAGTAAACACATGATGCCTTGCCGAACGGAGGCATTTTGTTCTGTACATGCGCATGTGCGACCACTCCAGCAACCCATGATGCGTAACGTGGCAACACCAACACGCATGCGCTCGTCACAAAGAAAATCTGGCCACGAATACCCTTGATTGCACATGACACGCGCTGGCAATGGCAAGCTTGACGATCCCGGGAGGTTTATCGTATTTGTGACCCCTCAGCTCAACAATTATGCAGAGCTCCTCGTATTTGCATTTGCTGTTCCCCCCTTGGGGACTCGATGTAATACACCACTTGCGCGCCTTCTGCGCGTATACCATTGGTGCCACCACTGGCGCTGACACTGGAAGCAGCGTAGAGCAACGGTGCAACCGACACATGTGTACTCACAAATGTTTACACACACACGCACACACTGCGAGCATTCTGCCAGAAGCAACGTACTCTGTCGGATAACAGTTGTTCAATATTGTCAGGGCGCTTCGACCCCCAAACATATTCCACCTTTTCTCGAGGCCAGACAAATTCGCCGGCCCAACGGGCCAGAGGCGTGCTAAGATCTCCGGTAACTGGTTAACAATTCTCTAGTTCGCGCGCGCGGGGCGGCCCCTGGGGGTCCCCGGACGAAAAGTACCCCGGGCGATCCCCGGATCCCCGGGAGACTCCCCCAGAGCGCTCCAGGAGCGCTCCATGAGCGCACCAACAGGGCTCCGAGACGTCCCCGAGAGCCCCAAGAAAGGCCAAGAGGCCCCCAAGAGGCCCCCAAGATGGTACACGAGGGGTCCGACATGCCACAAGATCGCTCCAAGACGCCCAAGATAGCCCCCAGACGCCCCAAGAGGCCTCCAAGAGCACTCCCAAGAGGGCCCCCGGAGGCAAAATTCATTCTTTTTTCGGCTTCCCGACGCCCCAAGACGGCCCAAGAGGCCCCCAAGCTCGCCCCAAGAGGGCCCAAGAGGCCCCCAAGAGGGCCCCAAGATGGCCCAAGAGGGCTCGAAGACGGCCCAAGAAGCCTCCAAGACGGTCCAAGAGGGCCCCAAGAACGCCCCCAAAGGGGCCCCAGAGAGGGAACACGAAACAACATTTCGAGCCCTCGGCCCTAAGAAGCCCCTACGAGGCCCCAAGAGGCCCCTAAGAGGCCCCAAGAGGCCCCCACGAGGCCCTCAGGAGGCCCCCAAGAGTCCCCCAAGCGGCCCCAGGAGGCCCCCCAAATGCCCCCCCGAGCGCCCCAGGAGTCCCCCAAGCGGCCCCAGGAACCCCCAAAGCGCCGCATTGACACCAGGCCCTCGGGCAAACGGCAGACATGAGACTGTATGGGCCGGCGGAATGAGCGAAGCGATTAAATAAATAGGGCGCTTGTTTGTAAGGACGATATGAATATGCGTATTCACATCCGCGCAGGGTAACAATAACAATCATGACCAGGTGTGGCTCCTCACGACTCCCTCCCACGAGATCGCGACAACTCGCTGATATGATTAGAACCCCAGCCGACCTGTTCTTGGCCACCCCGAGGAGCTCCTGCTCAGGGGCGGTCAGCAGTGCGGAACAGGGAATGTAGCCACAACAAAGGAAGCCAATGGCCAACACTAGAGACAATGGGCTTATATTACGCTGCTAGTTGTGCTCGAAGACACTTGAATCAAAGACAACACAGCCGGCGAATCATGTACCACTTCGAACACCTTCCGAACACCTAGGAATACACTGCAACAAGTCCTTTCTTGACAATTCCAAAGAAACGCTACTGAAACTGGGAATTGCTAATGTTCCTCCCGTCCGCTAGAGTTGCCGAAGAGACTCGTGAGCCCGTGCGCCCACAAATTGGGATTGAATGGACATTCGTCTGCTGAACCAACCTCGTCACTGACCGTAGGATCGACTGTGGAGCCGCACCAAATTCCGGAACACCCAACAAACTACAAATTGTGCTAGTCGATGCTCCGCCCCTAAGGCATAATTGGGGGGAGGGAGGGAGAGGGGGATGAGGCCATCCAACACTTGCGGTCTGGGACGGGACACGCCCCCAAGATAACAATATCACCAACTCGCTTATCTTTTTCTTGGCACCCAGATGTGCATCCCGCCAAGCAGGATCGGTGTGGGTGGGAGTGAGACAGTCAAGAGGCAACAGGAAACCCTGAGTGAGGAGCGTCATTTCCTTGCGACTCCGAGCAACGACTGGATTTTGGAGGCGGGCCAGAGGACAACTTGCGGAAGGGTCGGACCACTCGGCATCAAATCGAGCGAGGCGAGGCGCGCTTCCGCCGGCCGGTGGTTAGCGGGGCCCAGGGGCCTGGCGCGGGCGGGCCGGTGCCCGTAGTAGTTAGACGTTGGAGTAAGCGACAAAGTTTTTCTGCAGCGACTGCCATGATACAGTGTTCGTAGCAAGTTCCACTCAATTCGTGTTGTTGTCCCCAGTTAAAGTAGATCGTAAGAACTGCGAGATGTCGTCGCTCGAGCGTTTTCGCTGAGCACCATGTATGCCGCAAGCTTGACGCAGGTCGTGGCATCAAATCGGGAAGTTGGATCGGATCGGAACGGCCATCGGATCGGGCTGCCTCGGCACGGAGTCGAACTGTGATCGCATCGGCCGCGCCACGAAACACAGCAGCGACATGCACAAGCATCGGGACGCATCGAGCCGTCGGAATAGTGAGAATCGGATCGGACCGGGCTGGCCGAAACCGATATCGAATCAGATCGGCATGGACCCAAAGGTCCGCGAGCGCGGGACAAGACTGAAGCGGCCCTTGCCGCAAGGCCCCGACCTTGCACGCACACCCCTGGACGCTCGAAATTGGTACTGGAAACATGGATACGATACCCAACAACAAATGCTCTCCAAAACCGGCAGCGGCCGCTGTTGGGCAGGATGCGCGGACAGCGAGTTCTGTTCAAAATGAACAGGGGCTGCTATTGGGCATCGTACCCATTCTTTCCGTACCCACTTCGATCGTCCTGAACCCCCTCTCGGACGCCCCCCCGGCGGCTACTCCGCCAGCGCGCGGAACACCCTGCCCGCCAACCAAGGGGGCGGCCCTGAGATCGGACGTCGCGAGAAAATTGGAACATCGTCAAGAGTCACGCACGACCGTGGGCCCCGCGCCCTACACCCAATCGCAGGTCGCTAGAGGTGCCCCTGGCCCAAGGTGCCCCCAGCTTTTCGCTCGATTCTGGAGTCGCTGGAGCCCTCTGGGCCTCGCCAAGAGTGCTCTGGAGGCCGTGGGGGCCTCCCTGGAGATCCCGGGGGCACCTCTCGGTCCGGGGGTGATCCTAGCCTTAGGTCGGGCGTGTCCCTCTACAGGCCGATTTTCGACGAAAAATAAAAAATACCCCCCAAATCTTCAAACAGGCTCATACAAATAGTCGAAACATCGTCCCCAGATAATTTCTGTCTATTTTTGAATCTATTCCTCCTGTAGAGGGACAGGCCCGAGTGAATCCCAGCCACGCCCCACATCCAACGCTTCTGTGGCGTTTCTCGAGCCAGGTCGATCTGTGGAGTCCTACCAGACGGGGTCGGAGCAGATGGGCTCGGAGGGTCGCGGCGCATCGGCGATGCATCGGCGACGTCGGCGTGGAGAACATCGGGCTCCGCATCGAGCCGCATCGCCGATGCATCGGCGATGCGGTACGATCCTCCGACCTCATCTACTCCGATCCCATCTAGGAGGCCTAGAATTCGGTCGGACATGTTCTCCTGCAGGCGGATTTTGGCGACAAATAAAAATAGTCAACAAATATTCCAACATGTTCCAAACATAACAAACAAATAATCAAACATCGTCCCCAGAGTACTGTTCAATTATTTGTGAATCTTCCTCCTGTAGAGGGACATGCCCGATGTACGCCTAGCATCTGTGAGGGCCCCCCTGGGCCTGCACCCGGCCGACCGCGCTCGGTGCGGAACACACACACACACCCGCACGCGGCGAGCCTTCGCGGCCGAGTTGGACGACATGAGCTCGGAGAACTCCTCGTGCTCGGCCTCGCCGCCGGGGCGCGGGGGCAAATTCCGGCACCCTCAGCCCGGGAAGTCGATCGAGGAGGGTCGAGATTCGGAGGATCGGGGGTCGCTGGACGGGGGATCGGGAGGACCGAGGATGGCTGAAGGATCAAGGAGGACCTGGAGATGCGGAAGATTGAAGAAGGATCTGGGGATCGAGATTCGAGATCGGTGACAGTCGTGGCCCTTTTCAGGCCTCTGGGGTCCACCAGGGAATCTTCCGGAGTCCTGCGGAAGGACGTACGAGGAGACCTCCGGGGAGCCTAGCTCTGGGGCTGTCCTGCAATGGTGCAGCGCTGCGACTTCTACAAGCGCAGTGGCGGATCTGCGCTGCGCAATTGGACAAGGCACGAACTAAGCCGTCTTTTCCGTGTTCATTTTGTGTTAGCTGCCCCTCGTTGTCTTCGTTCCGCCTTTGCTGCAAAACAAAATCAAAAACGATCACGATACACGACATCACACAAAAAACAAAATTTAGTTCGTGCCATGCAGTTGCTTGTATCTCATACGCCGTGAGTAGGATACTACGGGATCGCGAGTCCCAGGAGTGATCACTACACCCACCTTGGACAATGTGGGCAACAATCGCCCACTCGCTGCAGAGACAACATAAGAATCACGAACACGAAGATGACGATCGGAAGAAAGGGGAGCCAGGTGATAGGATAAGACATTCCCTCGGACCTTCGAGCGGTTATGTCTACACGTGCTGTTTTTTGCTCCTCGACCGCAGATGCGGAGGAGCTCGGGGACAGGCTCGGTAGCGTGGCCCCCAGCTGAGCCCGCAGCTGCGACGCGCCCACGAAACGGCGCCCTACCGCGCAGGCCCGTAACATTCCCCCGCGCGGTCCAGATAATAGAAAAGGGCCGGAGGCAGCTCCCAAGCAGAGGCGGCAGCAGCGCGCGAGTGCCGCGGGAAGACCCGGGGAGGTGCCCACGTCGTGTGGCGGTGCGCGCATGTCGGGTGGCGCAAAGGGGACGGCCTTCTGAGGGGCGGGCTGCTTCTTAGCGGGAGGGGACCTGCTTAGAACCTGGCGGCTTCTAACAAGGCCCACGAGAAGCTTCGGGGATGGCCTCTGAGAAGCCCCCTGCCTTCTGAGAAGCCACCCCAGACCCCAGGCTTCTAAGAGGGCCGCCCTCCTCGCGCCACTCCTTTGTGAGGCAGCCAAATCGTGACGACCTGCGCGTTGGTTTCCTGGCACGCCCAAAACGGGTACGGTCACAGTGGGTACAAACAACAGCTGCTGTGGTGCAGGCGACTCTCTGTCTGGGGTAAGGCCCGCGGCGACGCCGACAGCAAGTCCTTCTGAAAATCAGCGAAGACTGCTGCTGGCCCTCGTTCCCATCCTTTCCGCACCCATTCCGATCGTGCCGAAGGGTCGCCCTCTCGCACGGCATCTCAGACTTGATCCCGAGACCCCTCCTGGGGTCCAAACGCACGTGTCTTCCGAGCTGCGTCTGGCCGTGGCGATGAAGGCCCCCCCAAGGCCAACCGCCTTCTTTTCAACCCGCCCTCCTCTCACTCACCCTTGCGGCGCCCAAGGCTTCGTCCCCCATTTGGCGGCGAGCCCACGGGGAAATAAGACAATGCGGGCTTTCTCAGAAGGCCTGGAGGTCCCGTGCCTTCTGAGAAATGGTCTGTAAGCATTTCCCAAAGAGACAAAGCACACTTCTCTCAGAAGGCTGGAACGCTTCTGAGAAGCCCCGCCGCCTTCCGAGAAGGCCTCCTCTGCGAGGCGGAGATTTATCCATATCCACCGCCTGGGAACCGACGTCCTGGTGCCCCAGCGGGCGGTGGATGTGGATACAGTTCGGCCCCCGGGGGCCCGAATATGTCCATAGCCACTGCCCGCCGAGGCTCAGAAATCTGACCCTCCAGGCGGTGGTCATGTATACATTCCCGCCTCGGATTCTCCTTCTCGCTTCCCCCCGGTCGCGCCGCCGCGTGCCCGTCTCGGCCGTGCCGAGTTTTTTTGGCACCGCGCGGACAGCTCAACCTGCCAACGGCCTCGGCCTTCCGACGCCGCCGACCGCTCGCCGACCCCCGGCCGCCGCCGGCGTCCAACCCTGAACGCCTGCGACGGGGGGCGCCGCCGCGCCGACCTGCCGTGATACCAAGCTGCTCTCGACGTGCGCGGTCCACTGCTCGCAAAAGAACTACTCGCAAGTGGCCTGGATCCCCCGCGGGGGATCTACGATAGCTTACATCAAAACAGACATGTGTTTTTTCGGGCGTTTGCGAGTAGGCACTTTGCGAGTGATCAGTGGAACGCGCTCGGCGATGCTCTTCGGGCGCTGAAGGACCTCGGACGTCTTGCTTTCCCAGTGCGCGGGACGCGCAGCTCCTCCGACGCCTTTTTGGGGACTGGCTCTCCTTCCCGAGTTGCTCTGCGGCGGCCCCTGGGCTCGGGACGGGCTCCCACTCCGGAAACCCGCGCTGAGGAACGACCACCGGCATTGAACGAACATGACGTCGGAGGCCCTGAAGAGTTCTGCATGTGGCAGCAGCGGGCCCCGACGTCTCTGTCCCCAGAGGCACACCTGGGCTGCCGCTGCCGCGGCCGGGCCAACTGCGAGACGCGGCGCCATGCTGCCGCTAGTCAATGTTTGTGCTTGCCTTGGCGGCGCGCGCGGGGGGCGGCGCGAGAGGCGGGCGGCCCTCTGTGAGGCAGCGGGGGGCTGCTTGGAATGCAAGGGCCTCCTCCACCTCCTCCCTCATCCTTTTTCCTCCTCCCTCCTCCTCCTTCCTCCTCTTGTCGGAGGGGCACGGAGATTCCTGGGAGTGTCTCGTGGACGCATCGGAATCCTGCGAGAAACCGCCCGCTTTCTTAGGAGCCTCCCCTCCGCATTCTCAGCAGGCCCCCCCCTCGCGCCACCACGTCGTCGGCGCCGCTGAGCTTGCCCGCGGCTCGCTCCTCTGACGCGTGCACAGCCCGACAGCGCAGGCAGAGAGCTCAGGAGGACCCCAACCAGGGCCACAGCGCGGGGCGTAGGCTCGTCGTCTCAGGGTATGGCGGCCTGCGGACTCTTTCTCTCCCTCTCTTTCTCTCTCTCTCTCTCTCTCTTTCTTTGTCTTTCTCTCTCTCTCTCTCCCGCCGTGAAATTCTTTGGTATGTTATGCTGTGCTACGTACCACTATGCGATGCCACGCCTTGCGCTGCAATGCTATGGTATGCTATGGCATGCTGTGCATCGCGTACCCTTTAGGAGTCGCTGTCCTCTTTGACATCCGACTGTGAGAATAGAGAGGGGCTCCACGCAATGGTAAGGGATAGGAGGGAGGGGTAAGAAGTCAGTTATAACGCCAGCCCACCCAGCTTGGCCTCTCCCTCTCTCGCTCTCTCTCTCTCTCTGTCTCGCTCGTTTTTTTTGTTTTTTTTTTTTTCCCCCCCTCTCTCTCTCTCTCTTTCTCTCCCTCTATCTGGCCACGCAATCTCAAGGAGCAGGCGCTAAACTCGTCCCTGGTCGTTCACACCACCAACGACAGCTGAGGCCTTGATGCGCCGTGGCGCAGAAGCATAATGACCACCGCCAGAAATGAGCCCCCAGGTAGATGGGTATGTCCCAAACCCAACTGCGCCTTCACTGCATGCCCCTTCTGCGCCCGACACCTGCAACGCTCTCGGCTGAAGGGCCATGATGCCCCGCACTGTGAATGATGCGGAAGAACCCAACTGACTCTAGAGTGGTCCAGCATGCAGAGCCACAGAGGGGCAAACATCTGCGTCTGCTCGTACGCTCTTGCCGAAAGTGTCAACGCTCGTGGCTTCGACTGCCGCAACATCCAAACGGCCCTCGAGGGGTGCGACATCGCACCTCGGAGTCCAACCGGGCAGGAGCTTACCAAAGCATAGTGAGCCAAAGACCAACAGGCCCACAACGGCGAGTCGTGTACACCGAAGCCAACCAGGACGATACGGACGCGCGAGCACCCAGAGACCACCAGGTCTCGAGAGTGCCCAGCTCCATCAGCCCAAAGGAGCAGTTGTCCAGGGGGAGAACATCCAAATTCGACCCTGACGAGGTCCTTTTCAGGGTAGAAGGCGTTATCATAATCTGCCGGGACAATGACACCCTGAACAACTCTGCCTTGAAAACGTCAGGCCGCTCACCATGCCCATGCGTCCTGTCGAGCCTCACTGGAGAAGAAAGGCGCACCATCAGCGTCCAACGCATCATGGAACTCATTGCGGGCCACCAAGACGACGCCAGGTGGACATAGGTAGGGCTCACATGGCGAACCACGGCTCTGCGCCCACAACCCCTCGTCTTCGACGCCCTTACAGGCGCGAACACCACTCAAGGGATCTTCGACCTCTACGGGCGAATCGCAACAAATTTGCCAACCCTCGCTTGCCGGGAGTGAGAAGACGCGCCAGATGAATGGCTGTCCCCCTCCCCCTTCCCCCCCCCCCCATGGGCCCAACATCCCGTTTGAAAGGGGTGCGGGTGTATCTTGGCTCTCGGGCGCTCCCCGGAAAACTTTGGAGCTTCCAAATCTACCTTCTGCAGCCTCCAAAACTGTTCAAGACGGTCCCAAATCGCGGAACGATTGGCCCAAGACGCTTGCCAAGTCTCCCAGACGCCCCAAGACGCCTTCGAGACGCGCCAAGAGCCTTCCCAAGAGGGCCCGAGAGAAACAAATCAAATGTTCCCAAGCATCCTGTGGTGTTGGCTTCTCGTTTTGAAGAGACGGTCCCAGCGTTCCTCTCTCCTCCTCTCTCCTCCTCCTCCCCCTCCCTCTAGGGAGCTGCAGCGAAGGCCCCAGTGGATGCGCTCGCATGACACCACCGCACCCATTTCGGCACACCCCTCACACGTTTCGTAGCCCCAGAGAGAGCTCCACCGAAGGTCCCAGTGGCTGCGCTCGCATGACACCACCGAGCCAATTGCAGCACACCCCTCACACGTTTCGTGACTCCATAGGGAGCCTCACAGAAGGCCCCAGTGGCTGCGCTCGCATGACACCACCGCACCCATATCGGCACACCCCCGTCAAACGTTTCGTGGCCCCACATGGAGCTCCACCGAAGGCCCCAGTGGCTGCGCTCGCATGACACCACCGCCACCCCTCACACGATTCGTGGCCCCACAGGGAGCTCCACCGAAGGTCACAGTGGCTGCGCTCGCATGACACCGCTGCACAGAAGGCCCCAGTGGCTGCGCTCGCATGACACCACTGCACCCATGTCGGCACGCGCCCCATGGGGAGTCTCACAGAAGGCCCCAGTGGCTGCGCTCGCATGACGCCACGGCACCTATTTCGGCAGCCTCACACGTTTCGTGGCCCCACACGGAGCTCCACCGAAGGCCCCAGTGGCTGCGCTCGCATGGCACTACCGCACCCATGTCGGCACGCACCTCGCACGTTTCGTGGCCCCATGGGGAGTTCCACCGCAGGCCCCAGTGGCTATGCTCGCATGGCACCACCGCACCCATGTCGGCACGCCTCTCACACGCTTCGTGGCCCCATGGGGAGGTCCACCGAAGGCCCCAGTTGCTGCGCTCGCATGACAGACACCGCTGCACCAATTCCAGCACGCCCCTCACACGTTTCGTGGTCCCATAAGGAGCTCCACCGAGGACGATACCAACAATTGCGTTATTCACAATTGCAGATGGTTGGGTCCTTCGCCAGGATAGTTTTCCTTCGTTTTTTTGCGACCCTCCTGTGGATTTGGGTCTTCGTCTTGAATTCGCAGCGAAGCGCGTCTCTCCTCCTCTCCTCCTCCCCCTTCCTTCCTTTCTTCCCTCCTGCCTTCATTCCTTCCTCCTTGCCTCCTCCTCGTTAGCGTCACCATCTTGATATTAATCACCACCTTCATTATTATCACATGTTCGTCACACTCCTCACCAGGTTCGTACCCTCCCAAGGAGCTCCACCGAAGGCCCCAGCGACGGCTCTAGCAGTCTTCTCTTTTGCCTTTTCGCATTTCGGTAGAGCCCTCACACGTTTCTTGGCCCCATAAGGGGGCCCCACCGAGGGCCCCGGTGGCAGGGTTCACACGCTTCGTGACCCCATAAGGGGGCTTCACCGAGGGCCCCAGTGGCAGGGTTCACATGGGTACCCGCCCCACTCCGGCATACCCCATCACACGTTTCGTGGCCCCAGAGGGGGCTCCACCGATGGCAGCGGTGGCAGGGTTCACATGGGTCCCCGCCCTATTTCGGCAGACCCCTCACACGTTTCGTGGCCCCATAAGGAACTCCACCGTGGGGCCCTAGTGGCAGGGTTCCCGTGAGTACCCGCCCTATTTCGGCAGACCCCTCCCACGTTTCGTGTCTCCATAAGGAGGTCCACCGAAGGCCCCAGTGACAGGGTTCGCACGCGCACCCGGGTTCATTCTGGCACACCCCTCATGCGTTTCGTGGTCTCATAGGGAGCTCAATCGAAGGCCCCAGTGGCAGGGTTCACGCGACCCAGTGGCAGGGTTGACATGGGTACCCGCCCCATTCTGGCAGAACTTCATACGTTTCGTTCGTGTCCCCATGGGGAACTCCTCCGAAGACCCCAGTGGCAGGGTCTTACACGTTTCGTGGCCCATAGGGAGCTTCACCGAGGGCCCCAGTCGCAACGTTCACATGGGTACCTGCCCCATTTCGGCAGACCCCTCACACGCTTCGTGGCCCCATGAGGGAGCTCCACCGAAGGTCCCAGTGGCAGGGTTCACATGGGTCCCCGCCCTATTTCGGCACATCCCTCGCACGTTTCGTGGCCCCACGGGGAGCTCCACCGTGGGGCACTTCGGAACCTCCTAACGAGTTCGTGTGCGTTGAGCGGTCATATTGGTGGTTTCTACGTCCGTTGAATGGGTCGGGTCCTTCGCCAAGGTCAGTTTCATTCTGGGGTTGTCGTCTTCTCGATCTTCCGACGCTCCAAGACGGCTCAAAAAAACCCGCCCCCCCCCAAAAAAAAACTGCCCGACACGCCCCTATGAGGGCCCCAGGGCGGCCCGAAAAAGGTTCCCAAACAACCCACAGAGGGGGCGAAGACGGCCAAACACTGCCCCGAGAGGACCCCAAGAGAGGCGAAGAGGGAGAACGCGAACCGAACCGAACATCCTACCTTTCCAGCCCAAGAGGCCCCCCAAAGGCCTCAAGAAGCTCCTGGGCGACCCAGAAGAGGCCCTCCCCAACCCCCAAAAGCTCCAATTGGCTACCAAGAGGCCCAAAACAGGCCCTATGGCGGCCCCCAGCGCGCTTCAAAACCGCCTCCAAGAGGCTCCGCCACGCTCCCTACACAGCTCCCGAAACGCCTGCAAAAATCCCCACATGGTGCCCACAAGGCCCACGACGCCTCAACCGTGGACTCCACGCCTCTTCTGGGGGTCCGAGTTGCGGCTCTCCGCCTGTGCGACCACCCGCTTAAAACGCGCCGCCAGGTGACGTTTTCGGGCAACCGCGCTGACGCTGCTCTGGCGCCGGCCTCGAGGCCGCGGCCGTCGCCAGATTGTAGACCGGGCCATCGCAAGACCTCCGCGCGTCGGGCGCCTTCCCAGAGGCGCGAAAAAAGATGCGGATTCGGTTGCTAGCGTGCTCGCCGCGGCGGCGGCCGCACACCCCGTGAAAAGGGTCAATGATCTTGGCGACGACGCTGCGCTGCCCACCGCCAGGCTCGAAGGGCGATCTCTGAGGATCTCCCGCAGGGCGCCCCGCGCCCTGGCTGTCCCGGGCCGCGGTCTTGAACTCGGAGCAATCGCCTAGGAGGAGGCGTTCGTGGGGCTCAGGAGGCAAGCTTGGAGAAATACCTGTCTTCGCGTCTAAGCCGAAAAGCCCGGTGGCCACGTGCGAAACCTCGTGGAAGACAGGTCGGCAGTGTCTGGCAAGCCGCTGCCCGACTCGAGTGGGCGTGGCGCGAGTGTGGCACCATGTGCGACGATAGGGGCGCTCAACTCGCGTGGATGCACGAACTGGCTGGCCGTCTCGCGCGCGTGGGGCCGCGCGGCGGAGATCTTCTCTCCGGCGCGATCCGGCCGCGAGACCCGACCCCGGCGACGTCGACCCTCGAGCAGGGCTTGGGCTACTTTGCCAGCGCGCAGCTTCCCAGAACCACAGGCATACCCGAGTGCGCTGCCTGGCAACTCGGCCTCCTCTGCAGATGCCTCTGGGTGGCCTCGCCCGGCAGAGGAAAGTCAGGACTGGCATCGCGGATGGCGCATCTCCCCCGCGCAGATGGTGCGACCGGAAGAGGACCCCGCGAGTGCTGCCCTCAGTGCCATGATGCTGGCCAGCAAAGGTAGGATCTCCCACCGCGCGCCAGGCGCTGCGGTCTGCCCGGAGAAGATCCGCCCCTCCTCGATCTACAAGCTGCCTCTGCCAATGAGGAGTTCCCACTGCCCGCCCCGCGATCGCGCCTGGGGCGGCCAAGCGAAGAATCCGACTGAGCGTGCGCGCGGCGACGGGCGCGGCTTGTTCCAACCAAGCTCGCGCCTTGTTGGCCAAGGCAGGTCGCGGTGTCTGCTGCGGGCTCGACCGCCGGTGCGCCCGCAATGCCGGGGTCCGCGGGCTGGCCCAGTCCGCGCAACGGGCAGGGGCGCTGGCCGTGCTTGGTAGCCGCGGCCGAGGATCACGTTTTCGTCGATAATCAAGCGGTCGTCGACGGGACTTGAAGAGCTGCTCGGGGGGGAACCGCCGCAGCGCGTCGGGCCGCGGGCCGACCCGTGGCCGACGTTCCAGCGGGCGCACCTGGCAAGCGCCGATCATGTCAACATCCAAAATGTGGAGGGCCACATGTGGGGGCCAATTATCAGCGGAGGGCGCGCCGCTCAGATCGCGGAAGCGCTCGAGGGACACGTTGACGAACTCGCCGCGCCAGGGGCGAGGCTCGACAGCGTCCCGCCAAATATGTGGACGCCGCCCATAGCGACGCAGGTTCGCCGCTGACCTACGCGCCGCGGCCGTTGCCATCCATGACCTGCGACGACGGGCGCCGCCGCCCCCTCGCAGGAGATCAGCGTGCCCCGGGTCGGAGATCTACAACATGGCGCCGAAACCGATGACCGTTGGCCAGGTGGGGCGGGGCGGCTCGGGCGCGCTGGGCGGGCCGCCGGGCCACGGCCATTCTCGCGAACTCGACGACCATTGGTCCGCCGCGCCCGCGGGCGACCTCGAAGGCGAGGACCTCGACCCGCCAGGGCTCTGCGCCTTCTCTCAACAGGGAGGATGAGATCGACCTCCCCGCCCGCGGACGCCCCGCCTGACCAAAACGGCGCTTCTGCGGGCCGTCCCGTTGCACCCGCAAGCGCCGGGCCCGCCGGCGACGGGGTGAATCAGTGCGCGGTGGCCGCCCATCGCGCCCGAGGCGGCCAGCCGTCCCAGTCGCCCCGCCAAGGTGCCAGCAGGGGCGGCCGCCAGTCGCGGAGCGATGGCCGCCGGGCCAGCGGGGCCCCCCAATGCAGGCGCCGCAGGCAAACCCCCGCGCAAGCTTTCGCGGCTGCGAGTAGCGAGCAGCAGAGAGAGAGACCGCGAGAACGCTCTCGCCGACAGCGCGCGGGCATGCCGACGCCGCGCGGCCCAGCCAGCGCTCTCTCCCCCTCCGCCAGCCAAAAGAAACAATCAGCCCCGCTGATCGACGGGTCTCACCGAACGCCAAAAGCCTGGGGCGGCCCGCAGCAGGCCTGCCTGCCCGCTGCGGCTTTGCGTGCGTCCACCCATGGCAACCTCCAAGTTTTTTTCGAAGCGCACCGGGCGGCGCGCCAATGCTGGCCCTGCCTCCTCTCCCACGGACCACGGGCACAAATGGCACGTCCGTAAAATTTCGGGCGCCGCAGGGGGCGCCCCAAGGCGACGCCTCGCGCTGTCCTGGGCGCCGCGTCGCGCGCGCCAAAACGCGCGCAGTTGCTGCGCTTCTGCCGCTGGGACGCAGACGGGCCCTGCGGCGGCCTGCTCACCGCTGCCCACCTTTTTTCCAAACGGAGCCCCAAGGACCGCGACAGGGCGGAGGTAGACCCACCGCCCCGGATACAGATGCGGCGCGCCCCGCCGCTGCTAAGACAGCGTGCCGGGCGTTCGAAATCTGGGGGCCGGGGATGGCGCGCGGTCCGAAATGTTTCCATCTCTCTCTCTCTCTCTCTTTTCTGTTTTGTTTGTTTTTTTGTTTTTTGTTTTTTCCCTCTCTCTCTCTCTTCCGCGTCTTTCTCCTCCCTGCCTCCCCTCTCTCCCTGTCCCTATCCCTCTCCGTCTCTCTCGCTCTCTCTCTCTCTCTCTCTCTTTCTCTCTCTCTCCCTGCCCCCCTCGCTCTCTGCCTGTCCCTACCCCACTCCAACACCCTCTGTTTCTTTATCTCTCCCTCTTTTTCTTAATTTCTCATCTTGCCCCCCCCTCTCTCTCTTTTGTTTTTTTGTTTTCTCTCTCTCTCTCTCTCTTTTGTTAGTTCTCTCTATCTCTCGTTTTTTTGTGGTGTTTGTTCCCCCTCTCTCTCATATCTCCCTCCCTCCCTCCCTCCCTCCCTTTCTGGCACCGGAAATGTATGCTCGTGCCATTCTTTGGTCCTCGGCCTATCCTTCCGCCTGCACGACCGACGGTTGAACGTCAAGATGCATCTCCATCAGTCCCCATCCTTCTCCTCCTCCGTGGCCGCATCGTCCGCGTAGTCTGGGTTAGTATGGGGAAGGTTGCTATACAACAAAGCTGGGGGTGTTTCCCTCATAATTTCAACTGTTTGGTTTCCGGCTAAGCGACACGGACAGAACATTGGCAACCCCAAACAAAACAGCACAACAATAAACACCGAGCAGAACCGCGAACGAAAATCCCCCAACGAAAACAACACTGGCCCCAACACAGGGAAAGCAAACAAACGCAGACTCCCCCAAGCGTTCTTCACATCATCTAGAGGGCCAGGGTGAATGGGGCTCAGGGGCGCACGAATAAATGTATACAACTCCAAGATCCATATCTATCTCTCTCTCTCTCTATATATATATGTATTCCATATTTTCTGGACGTTCGTCTCCCCCTCTATTCCACAAATTTTCAATAATCTCAGGGGCACCGACGATTCTTGGTGTCTGTGTTGCTTCCCTCCTGAAGGACATCCGGATGAGAACGGGTCCGACTGCAAAACCCCGTCGGTGGCCCCAGTGCGGCGCCCGTGCGCGCGCGCACGGAGCAGGAGAAGCGCAGGACGGGGGAGCGGTGCAGAAACGAAGGCCTGGTCGACCGCGTCGCCTCTGCAGCTCGGGAACAAACTTAACAAACCATGGCATACAGTCAAACCTGATGGCAAGGACGCGCGATAAGGACGCAAGCCCCTTGGACGCCCATGTCGGAGCTTCTCGAGCGGGGCTGGCCGTCGAGTAGTCAGGGGCGGACCAGAGGGGCAAGGATGTTGGGGTACCCTTGGGAAGATTACCCATCGCTGCCGTCGGTGTGATTTGGGGGAACAAGCGATGACATACACATCACATTTCTCAGGTCCGCGCGGATTTCTTGGATCGGCGGTGGACCCTTCTCCTTGGCGCGCGGAACGTGTCAAGGTCGGCGCCAGAGACGGCGCTGGGGGGCTACCGCCGGTCTCGAACATCCGCGCGGACCTCCGGAAATTTCTGTTCATGCCATTGTGTTGGTTCCCCGGAGAGCATGCTTGCCGCAAGATGCGGCGGCACTGGGCGCGCAAGGGCGGGCTGCAACGCGCGAGCGGAAGGCAACTCTGCTTCGAGCGGAGGGCCCCGCTCGCGGCCCGCGGCGGCCGCTCGGCAAGTTCGCCTGCGAAGGCCCCTCTGCCGCGGCCTCCTGGGGAAGCAAAAGGCACCGATACCGTCGAGTTTGATTTGGGAGGGCACGCGGGAGGGCACAAAACCTTTCCGAAGGCCACATTGCCATAGGAATGTAGACAGCATGGGTCGCGAAACACGGGGCGCAATGTGACCCTTGATTTGGCAGGGTCGACCTACGAATCAACATCGAATGTGCCGCTTTGCTTCCTGGGCCTCTCCCGTGGCGCGGTCAGACCAGCGTTTCGTGGCGAATCCAACCATGGCGACGATGGCTGCCAGGAAGCCCCTGAGGAAGAAAACGACGGACAGGGTGACGTCATCGGTGCCTCTCGTTTGGCCGATCCCTACCCTCACGGAGATGGCCAGGGCTCCATTGGCCGACTTACACCCCCAGCTGGGGACATGGGCTGTTGCCTTCTTCGAGCTTCGAGGGGCGCGCCCCCAAGTGGGGTGGTGGGGTGGTCGGGATGTGGATGGCGACTGGGATTTGGGCTAGGCGACCGATAGTGACGCGAAAAATGAAGGTATAAGAAGGTGAAGCACGGTTTTCTGCAAAGGAAAATGAAGCGATATAAAGCTTGACAATGTAAAGCGGGCGCGGGGGGTGCAACCTTGAGCCAAACGGCTCAGAATAAGCCCCTGGTGCACTGGCAAGGACAGGGTGATAAGCAAACGCGGCAAGAAGGCATGCCGTTTCCAGTCTGTTGCTCAAGCGAATCCGTCGTGCTTTGTACAGTAGATCAAGCAACTGCAGAAAAAAAAGCTCTGCTGACCGCCCTCCCATAAAGAGCTGCCTAGCTGCAAGGGGATATGTGCACATGTATTAGGCACCTTCCCTGGTTGGCCACCGTCACTCCACTCCAAAGGTATGTGGGCCCCCGCGGCGCCAATCGCAAAAACGCTTCGCGGCGCCAATGGCGGGAATGGAAATGCTCACCCCAGAGCCCGTGGGACTAGCCGAAACAGGGTAATCTATTCCCCCAACTGTAACTATGCGGGACTATTAAGGAGCAGGGCGCTGCCAGAGCAACCGCGAGCTGCCCAAACGCAGTCCGATCACGCCCACTCGCTTGAAGGCTCTACTCATCGATGTCGCCCGTCGATGTCGCATGTCCGCAGTCCGACCCCTCGTGACCTCGTGATGTAGTCGCGAGGCATCCCACTATTTCTGCGTGAGTGAGCTATGCTGTTAGCTCGGGGAGGCCTTCCTCATCTTCTCGTAGCTGAACTTGGCCGCGGCGTGGTCATCGCTGATCTGGCCGCCCCTCGCGCTGGAGATCGGCTCTCGGCCCGCGCTGCCCTTAGTCATGGGGTCTGCCTGCGTGTCCCGAGTGTCGCGCCAATGCAATTCATCGATCTGCTTGGCGTGCAGCTGGTCGGCTAACCGCCGCGGGTGGCCGTCCGCGCTGTTCTCGGGCGGCTGCCAGGCCGGGCCCGCGTTCCGGCGCTGAAGACGGGCGCGCCAACCGCGGCGAGGTCAGCAGGGGCCGCGCAACCTCTGCCCCCCCTCAGCCTCCCAATCTCCTCAGCAGAGGAGGGGCCGCGCACCGCCTCGAGCGGCGCGAGGAGGCGCCCGCAGACCGTCTGCTGCGCCGCGTGCTGCGGGCAGCTCGTAGCCGAATGAGGACCTGCGCGCAAGCTTGTGCGATCGGCTCACGGCGTCCAGCGGGTTGCGCGCCAATTTGCCGGCGCGGCGGCACTGGCCTAAACGCGTGTGTGCGTCTCGCATGCCGTGTCATGGCTCCTTCTCCATCTTGAAGGCCCGTCGCTGTGCGCGCTGAGTCGCGCGGCGCGCTCCACTGATGGGCATGTGGTGCGTGCCTTGATCTTCTGCGTGGCCAGTGTAGCGGAGTTGAGCTGAAGCGCGCGTCGGATGAGCAGCTCTTTCTTCGCTCTCTGCAGGGCGACGATGCGCGCTGCGACGTGGTGATAGGCATGCAGGGCGCAGGCTGCTGCTCCCAGGAGGGAGACAAAAAGGTCGGGAAGCTGACCTCTGGCCGGCTCGTCAGCCTGGGCCCTGACCAGGTCGGCGTGTCTGATCGGCATCAGATCGCCGATGTACTCGCCCTGGGCGAGCGCCGCGGCGCCGTCGGCAGTGCGGTGCTGGAGCACTCCGCGGCCTGTGAAGTCGTCTTAGTCACCCTCCATCTTGCCGCAGACGCTCTCGATGTGGCCGATCAGCCGGTCGACGCGTCTTGTGTCCAGCGATCTTCGGTCGTCAACGTGCCTGGGCAACAGGAACGCTAGTTCCTAGTCGGCGGCGGCGCCGTTCATGTCGTCGCGCGCCTGGCCTCGAGCTCTGGGCTCCGCCTGGTAGGTTTGGCGTCGCGCTCAGGCGGGCGCGTGAACCGGGGGAATTTCGTGGAGAAAGAGAAAGCTCTGGGTGCATCCTTGCGGCCCGTGCCCGGCGCTCGGCCCGCCTGTCGAAACGCTCGCGGCTGGGCGCCTGCCCGGCGGCGGCTGCCCTGCCGGGTGGCAGGGCGAAGTCCACCTCTCGAGGTGCTTCTCCTTGCCCCTGCATCTATGCGAAGGTCATGCCCTGCAGGCTTGCAGGGGCGCCTCCTTGACGTGAGCGGCGACGCTCGCCTGGTCGGGGCGGCGCGCCGCCTTTGGAAATGTGGGCGCCGAGGCGCCCGCGTGGCAGTCCTGGCCAACGCCTCTGGGGCACTGGCACCCGCGTCGCGGAAACCCCATCGACGCCGTTGCGCGCCGGATCAGATGGCGATTGCTGTCTGATCTCTTCCGCTGCCAACGCTTAAAAATGCGCCTGGGGCCCACTGCGTTTCGGGCGCCTCCGAGCGACCGCCTCACGGAAAAAAATTGTACTTGACCCAGATGGTGATGTGGGCTTGTCGAGGATGGCTGCCGCGTGACAACCTTCGACGGCCTCAGCGCACCCTCGCGGGACAGACGCACCCGCGGCCTTGACGGCGTCGCAAATGTTAGGCGCGGCTGTCCGAGGAGCGCCGGCGACGCACTCGCCGAACGTAGCCGCCCTCGGAGCGCCGGTGACGCAGTCGCCTGGCGCGGCCACGTTGAAGCTCAGGAATGCCTCGCGCAACCCTGGATCAAGATGCTACTCCGCATGTCTACCTACATCGTTCGCCCTCCTCCTCTAGCTTGGCGCAGTCGTCCAACGGGGCCCCGCGGTAGTGGCGCTGCGCGTGGATGCTCTGTCGCTGGTGCTGCGTCTCGACGTGCTGAGGCCGCTCGCGTGGCCCACGGCCCAGGTAGGTCGGCCGCGGCGTGCTTGGCGGCAGTGGAGATCTTGTGCCGGCTGTCGGCGCTCTCCAGCTTCTCCAGATCCTGGGCCAGATATTCAGCCCCTCGTCTTCGCGTCGAGCTGCCAACGTCGCCTGTTGGACGTGGCCGGAGAAGTCGCTGCGGGTCTCCTCTTGGGTAGCCGACAGGGCGCTAAAGATGATCACCCTCGGCGGAGCTTGCGGTGTCCTCGGGGGCGTCGATGACGCAGTCATCGAACGTTCCTTCCAAGTCTTGTCCGGCGCCCGTCGCCATCGACGACTCATCGCCCGGGATGACCTCGATGATGTGAGCTTCCTTCCGATGCTCGCCGGCGAGGTGGTCGACGTCGAGCGCGGCGCCGTTGAGGTGGGCCTGTTGGAAGCCAGCGCGGTCCCGAGGGAACCGCCAGATGGCCGAGCTCTGGGCGCGACCCGGCCATGTGCCCACATTTCTGTCCGCGATTGAATCGACCAGCGCGGGCGTCTGGTAGCTGGAAGCACCCGCGGGAACGATGGCGCAGGGCTTCGATTGCGTCTGGGCGCGGTCATGCCTGCTCGTTGAGCTGCGCGCCCTTGGTTTTCTCGCAGTGGCCGAAGGTCCTGGCTCGGGCCTGGCGCCAAGTGCCCCGGGTAGTCCACTGCGCGGTCCCAGGCCAAGTCTGCTCGCGCCATGCCGATGCCCATTTCGTCGAAGACGGCGCCAGTGAATGCACGGGCGTCTTGCAATCTGCATGCCATCTCGGCTAGGCGGTACTTGGCCGCCACCTTGCCTCGAGCCGGGTCTGCAGACATGACTGTCCTTAGGCCCGCCCAGTCTGACGCATCCCTGGTGCTTGGCGGCCTGTGGATCTCCACCTGGTCGCCCGCGTTGCAGCGGTCCTCGCCGGACTCGGCGGCGCGGGTCCTTGGGGCGCGTTTGACGTGCGCGATTGATGTGGCTTCGATCATGCGTTGCAAGGCTATCTCTCGGATGCGCCGCAACAGTCGGCTGGGCTGCACTTCTCCGCTGTCAGGAAGCTCGGCTCTGGCGACGCAGTCGCCGGATGCCGCGCCCTGTTCGTCTGCTTCGAGTGGTGGCGGCACGGGTGGCTGACGTCCGAAGGCGACAGCATGGCGTGGCGCCGCCCGCGTGGGTGAGGCTGCTGCCAGTAAAAACGGTATGTGCTAGCATGATATCGAAGTTCGCCGCGATGCCTTCGAGCTCCAGCTGCTCCCCCGTGGCGCGAAGTGCCGGTCGCGGCACGGCCCCGCGCCGGTCGACGAAACGAGCGCGCTGGCGCGGAGCGCGCATGTCATCCTGCACGCCTCTCCCAATCATCTCCTCCGCGATATACGTCGAAGTCATTCCGCTCTCGCCGTGCTGGATCCATGTGCGGTCGATGGCGGCGAATCGCGCATGGGCGCGACCTCCTGACCATGGCACCTCTAATGGGAGCGGCAACGTATCAGGTGGATCATCATGCGATCCTCGTAGAACAGGATCTCGCACTCAACGTGCTGGTTAAATCGTGGCGGAAGGCGGAGTGTAGGAATTATTTGCGGCGCTGGCGGTAGCGACTTGCGGCGCTCCCCGCAGTTGTTGGCCGCTGTGGGGATGAAGTGGAGGCTGTTTTGTGGTGTGTTGGCTGCTCGTAGGACTCGTGCCATCGCGTCCTTCGCGGCGCGCCGTTGCGGGAGGTGTAGCTCGCGCTGTTCCCGCGTGCGTGTCTCACGCGGGTCAGTGCGAAGTGCTCGCAAGGGGGAAGTGACGTCGAAGCGAATCCAGTCTGTAGGCGATGGAGCGCCTGCAGCTGCGTCGGCAACTCGCGGTGCTGCTCGACGAGGCTCT